CTCAGAGATCCTCCTGCCTCTGCCTTCTGAGTGCTGGGATTAAAGGCGTGCGCTATTAGGCCTGGTTCCCCCAGAATGACTACCCCATTCTTTCCCTCCCTAGACTTTATGTTTAGCTCTCAGTTAATAGAATTCGTCCTTAGGGGAGCTGTCACGTACTTTACAACCTGCTAACTTTTATGCTGGCTCAGAGACCACACTAATCCTGAGCCTTTTAGCTACAGAACCCATCTTCACGGTCACATGTACCTTGCAGAAGAGTTTCTATGTAGTCAAGTGAAGCCTGAGCTGTAGGTGAAGTATCTCTGTGTCCCGGAGGTAACCCAAGAAAGGCCAAACCAGACAGTGAAACCAAGGTGATCTGAGGTATTGGAAAGAGAACATTGCAGAACATCGGTTCTCAACCTGGGGGTCGTGACCCCTTTGGGTTCCCATAAAGTATTTATGTTACAATTCATAACAGTAAGAAACTTACAGTTATGAAATAGTAATGAAATAGTTATATCATTGAAGGTCCCCACAGCACGAGGAACTGTATTAAAGGGTCGCAGAATTAGGAAGGTTGAGAACCACAGCTGTAGAACGTGGTCCTTCCAGCAAAGTGGCCTCCATCTCCACCAGATCAGCTGTGCCCATGTGGATGTAAAGACACAGCTCAGTTAAAAGGGGATAAGAAGTAATTCATTCTGAAGCCAAATATGAATGACCAGGGCCTGAGCACACAGATTTAGGGTACTCAAAATTCTGTCTTCCAATGAGACATCAATTTCATTAAGTTTCTATAGGAACAGAGCAAAGAAAGTCATAAATCAAAACACTTCTTTTTTCATTAAGGATTTTTTATTTTATGTGTTTTAGTGTTTGTGTGCATGTGTGCATGTGCACCAAGTGTGTGTCTGGTGCCCACAGACAGCACAAGAGGACATCAGATTTCTCCAGGATTGGAGTTAACAGCAGTTGTGAGTCACCATGTGGATTCTGGGAACCAAACCTGGTTCCTCTGCAAGAACAGTGAATGCTCTTTTTGCTGTTATTCTTGTTTTCTGAGACAGCATTTCTCCGTGTAGCCCTGGCTGTCCTGGAACTCACTCTGTAGACCATGCTGGCCTCGAACTCACAGAGATCCTCCTGCCTCTGCCTCCTGACGGTGAGTGCTCTTAACTGCATAGCCATCTCTCCAGCTGCAATACATTTTTTTTTCAATTACGTTGGTGGAAACATTGGAGAGGCAGATTACATACAGCAAAGCTGGGAAATGTCTCCTAATGCTATCTGAGGTCACCCTTAGCTTTTGGGTTGAGCAAGGTAGTGGCCTGCTAAGCTAATACATTTAAAGAACGTCTCACCTGATAGTCACAAGAATGTTAGATCAGGCTTAGAGCAGGGGAAGGAATGTCTAAAAAAAGGAGGGCTAAAGATAGCCCAGGGTAAATTTTAATTAAGCTCTGGCCTGCAACATCCCCACCTCGCCACAAACCTGGAAGGTCCCAAACAGTTGATCAGCCTAGCAGAAGTTCAGCTTGTTAGGCAAACTCCTGTTCTCATCTGTCCATCATGGCTGGTCCTGCTGACTCTTTGCATCGCCTTTTAGAAGGAGAGGGTGGGGAGGGCCATTGGACCCTTACCTGAGATTCCAGCCATTCCTTCCACAGAACTACGCTCTAATTATATATAGCCCAGAGGTGTTGTCTAAGGACGTGGGAGAGTATATAAACTGAGGAGCATTAGCTGAAGAAGCCCAGTGCCACGTGGAAGCCATCATCCATGCTGGACAAAGACTTCGCAGTGCAGCTGCTTTGGGGTCACCCAGGCTCTGGAGGTAAGCCTAATAAACTGCCTGGTGCCCCCAAGGCCACCTTTGGTGGAATCATACTTTGGCTGGTCATTGGAATTTTTTTTAAATTTATTTATTATGTATATAGAGTTCTGGGCACCAGATCTAATTATAGATGGGCGTGAGCCATCATGTGGTTGCTGGGAATTGAACTCAGGACCTTCAGAACAGCAGTCAGTTCTTTTAACCTCTGAGCCATCTCTCCAGCCCTGGAATTTTTTTTTTAAGATTTACTTTTATTGTTTTGTGCGTATGTGTGTTTTGTGCGCATGTATGTCTATGCACCAAATGCATGTGTGGAGGTGGGTGCTGGGAATCGAACCTGGGTCCTTTGCAAGAACAAGAAGTTCTTGCTCTTAAGCACTGAGTTAACTTTCCAGCTCTGTCACTGGGATCTTATGAAGAGTGAGGAGATGTTGCTTATGCCTTAGGGATACAGTTCTTTTGGTTTTGCTTTGTTTGAGACAGGGTCTCACTATGTAGTCCAGCAGGCTTGAAGCTGGCTATGTAAACCAGGCTGGCCTCGAATTTACAGAGATCTGCCTGCCTCTGCCTCCCAATGAATCACTATGCCTGGCAAGAATTCTTGCAATGAAGACAGGCCAGGGTCACTGCTGCCAGCTATGGCCATGCCATCTTGAAGTTTTTCTCCATTGTGGTGAATTAATGATAGCTTCCCAAAACTACACTAACCTACATTAATCCAGGCTTGCTCTCCTAGACTCCTCCCGACACCCTGCAACCAGCTGAGGATAGCTGGTCGTAAGAGGTGCTTATGATCACCTGACATTCTGTTTTGCTTTTTGAAACAGGGTCTCACCGTTGTATCCTTGAATCTGGAGCTCACTAGGGAGACCCAGCTGGCCTGGAACTCGCAGAGAGCTGCCTGCTTCTGCCTCCCAAGGGCAGGTTAAAGGTGTGCGCCACTGTGCCCGCTATGACACACATAAATTCTCTTTCTCTTACTACTTACCCCTCCACTCCTGGGATCCCTCCATGCCTTCCTCCCGCCCCCATCCCCCCATAACTACCCCTACTCTGTGAACAGCCAACTCCCTGGTTGTAGACGTCGCTCATTGCCTCCGACCTTGGGTGGCTCCTACAGGGAGCTGGGGGTGAGGGCATTGGAAGCTTCGAAGATTGGAGACTGACTCTTACCCCCTCTGAGAGCCTGCCCCAGTTTGTGCCTGCCACTTTGCCCTGCCCCCCATGTTGGGAGAAAAGACACCCCAAGCCAGACTGCATTTAGCTCTAGTTGCCCAGAACCCTGCTTCTTTCTATATCAGGTCCCAATAATCGATCTGAGCCTGAACTCCAGCTTGGCAAGCTATCAGGGATTGATTACTACTGACTGGGATCGGCGTCGTTGCCTCCATCTGAACCCTAGGTAACCTGTGAATAGCTGGTAAGATTGCATCATGTTTATTGGATTGGGGGGGCTGCTTATTCAGTTTTACCAGAATTGGCTGCACCCCAACATCAGTTCCCTCCCCCCTAAGCAACCCACCCCTAAGCAACCCAGATTGGTAGGTTACTGCAGACTGCTTGGGCATTCCTTTCCTCATTTTTTCCCGGCCACTCCTGGTTGCCCAACTCCTCTCTTGGGAGGTGGCACTCTAGATGAGTTCTACACCACTATTGTCATTCCTGTTACTCTGTCACCCAGACCTGACCCCTCCCGAAGACACTTAGAGACGTCCTACTCCTCTGTTTGTTTGTTTTCAGTCAGGGTCTCTCTGTAGCTTTGGAGCCTGTCCCAGAGCTAGCTCTCGTAGAGCAGGCTGGCCTCGAACTCACAGAGATCAACCCACCTCTCCCTCCTGAGTGTTGGGATTAAAGGCGTGCGCCACCACCGCTGGGCTATTATTTTTAAAAGATTTTGTATTTTGTTTTATGTGCACAAGGGCCTCGCTTGCATGTATGTATGTGCTTCACCTGCATGGCTGGTGCCTGAGGAGGTCAGAATTCCCCAGCAACTAGAGTTACCAAGGGTTGTAAGCCACTACGCGGGTGCTAAAATCTGACACTGGGTCCTCTGCGGCAAAAGCTCTTAAACATCTCTCTGGCGGCATCTGGGCCCTTCTAGTCAAGACCTTTATACATTGACCTGGGGAGCCCCCGGTACCCAAATGTCTACCCACTAAAGATGGACAGACTTTCCGAGGGATTTTGAGATGGTCCTCATATTTTCAGCTGGGCTCTGGCCCTGACCTTCGAAGTCTCCACCTCACTCCAAGCGCCTTCAAATGAGCCGTGTGTACAACATTCTATCCTCTCCACTCTTTCGGCTGCCCAGGGATGCTAAGCCCCTCTAAAGCTCAGGTAACCTCTTCGCAGGTCACATACCTTGACTTCCTTCAAGCCTCCTCTTCCCATGGGGTACCCCAAAGCTGCAACGCTTTAAACAAGGGCACCTATTCCCCCACCCCCAAGCTAAATGAAAACTTTCTCTTCTTTCTGGGCCTAGCGGGGAATTTTTGTATCTGGATCTCCAATTTCAGGGTCTTAGCAAGCCAGGCTGCTGGTGTCCCTTTCACAGAACCTCTGGAGCCCCACAGCCTACTCAAGCTCATTCCTTAGGCTCAGAGACCCTCACAACTGCTCCTGCCTGAGGGCATCCAGACCCCTCCAAACCTGCCTTTGTACCTTCATCCTTAGCAACCTTAGGTCTCCTCGGCCAGTGCCGTTACTACCATCTGTCTAAGTGGTGGTTCAGGGCTGGCCTTCTTCCTTGAAAACCCTTGGGGTGCCCCCCTTTAACAACAGAAGCCCTCATATTAACTAACACTCTACCAATCTATTACTGTCTCCACCTCCCACAATCTCCTTGAGCTCATATGTGACTTGACTCCCCCCCCCCTCCCGCATTTAACAGATAAATATACTGCTGTTTGTTTTGTTTAATTTATTTTTGGTTTTTCAAGACAGGGCTTCTCTGTGTAGCCCTGACTGTCCTGAACTCATAGACCAGGCTGGCCTTGAACTAACAGAGATCCACCTGCCTCTGCCTCCCAAGTGCTAGAATTAAAGGCGTGCACTACCACCCATTCCCCATCCGATCCGACACCTTCCCCCCCCCCCCCCCCCCCCCCCCCCCCCCCCCCCCCCCCCCCCCCCCCCCCCCCCCCCCCCCCCCCCCCCCGGCTTACATACACAGTTTATACAAAACCCTTTAATCACTTTTCAATGCTCTAAAATGCTTAGTCCACCCACTTTCCTTCTTGTAGACTTGAGCCCTACAAACGACTCCCATTCTTTTATGGATCCCCCGACTTGCTGCTACTTTCTAACCCTAACCCTAAGTTCCCAGTGCTTAGACCCCCCGAACTGGTATATTGATGGGTGCTCTTTAAGGCTATGCCACTGTCACAGGCAACACTACCTCAGGGCTCCACCCGCACCCCAACACTGCCTCAAGGCAGGCAGAGGCCATCACCCTTTACCAGGGCCCCACACTAGCACAAAAAGAAAAGCTTGGTGTCTACGCTGACTCTAAATACACACACCACATCCTTCTGCCTTCATCTGGCAAGAGAGGGGCTCTCCAGTAATGTCACAGGCCACCAGCAGTGGTAGCTATCCACCGTGGCCACCACCGTGGCCCAAGGCCACACTCAGGGCTTGTGACAGAAGCCAAGGTAAAGGGAATCTGTCACTGGCTACATCTAAGCTCAAAAGCGGCTCTAGACCCTGATTCTAAGACTTCCAACCCTTCTGGGACCCTCCACCTGTTTGTGTTTCTGCTCTCACAGGTCCGGTCTCCGTAAGGATAACCGGCACAACCCGGAGATTCCCTGACTCCTCGGTCACTCCTGGACCAAGTGACTGGACCTCAGAGTTCTCAGGACCACTTCCCTGTGTCTGTCTGCCACCACCGCCAGCCACCCCGGAAGAGCCATGATGATCCGCCCTTGGGTTCTCTGTCTCCTCCTCGTTTCTTACCCCTCTGCCTGTTCTGAGAGTTGGGTGCCGCTCATAAACCTCGCCCACCGCTTCCTCAAGGACACCAACTCCTCCTTCTCTTCTGACTGCTGGGTGTGTTTGCCCATCCAAACCCAGCGCTCTCTAGCCGTCCCAGCCCCACTAACAACTTGGACCGACTCACCCATGAAACTTCATATTACATACTCGACCCGGACCCTCTCCGGCCCTTATCCTATCGCCGACCTTGAAAAACGCCTCCAGAATTTCCAACCTTTAACTGCGTATTACTCGTTCGCCAATCCCGACCGCCGGGCTATTGCTCTTCTTCAGCTCACGAGCTTAACAGGCATACTCCCGCTACTTTCCCGACTCACCTCTGTGAAATATACTGACGATCGCGTCTATGAATCCGCCCAGCGCCCCATATGGGGGCCGCTCTCTACGCAGACCCTTCTTGCCTCCCAGGCCCCTCTCTGTGTATCCCGTTTCTTCAAGGATTCAAAATATGCCACCTTCGTGGGCAATCTCTCTGCCTCCCTCTGCAACCACACCTTCCGTCTTTTGCCCTCGGCGGACCACCAATCCATTGACCTGTCCACCAGCTATGCCTTTGCCGAACTAACGACCATGCCAGGCTCTAAGTGGAGAAACCCCTTACGCTTTTCAGGACCCCCTTCCCTAACCGCAGGGCAGCCTTACTACCCTTGCCCGGCCAATGACATCCATTGTCACACCTACCCAACCACTCCCTGGAGGCACTGTCCTTCCCGTCCATCTAGCACCTGCTACAACCTCACGCTGTTTGAACCAGCCGACAGAAATGACTCCGTCAGCCTGTCTGTGGACACCACATACTTCAAGATTAAACTCCAGGGACACAAAGATCCCTATCCACTCTTTCAGTACCAGCCCCTCATGGGGGCAGCCCTCTCTGGACAATATTCAATCTGGGAATATGAACCCACCGTCCAGGAAAATGGGGACGTCACCCCAAACATCCTCTCCCATCTTCTCTCCTTAACGTACTCCTTTTGTCTCAACTCCTCCGGCGTCTTCTTCCTCTGCGGAAGCTCCACGTACGTCTGTCTTCCGGCCAATTGGTCGGGCGTCTGTACCCTTGTCTTTCAATACCCAAACATTGAACTCCTTCCCAGTAACCAAACCATAACCGTCCCCCTTTTCGCTACAATTCCCTCCTCGGTCTCCACTTCTCGCGGGAAGAGAGCCGTTCACCTCCTCCCTCTGCTCGTGGGCCTGGGCATCACTTCCGCCCTCGGGTTAAGCATCGCTGGCGTCACCACTTCAACCATCTATTTCCAACAGCTTTCGAAGGCTCTCTCAGACAGCCTAGATGAAATAGCCACCTCCATTATTACCCTCCAAGACCAAATAGACTCGCTGGCGGGCATCGTCCTCCAAAACCGGAGAGCTCTAGACCTCATGACGGCCGAGAAAGGGGGCACCTGCCTCTTCCTGCAGGAAGAGTGCTGCTTCTATGTAAACCAGTCTGGAGTAGTCCGGGACGCAGCCAGGAAACTCGGAGAAAGAGCATCTGAATTCCGCCCGAGCTCCAGCTCTTGGATCCAGGGGCTGGGGTTGGGATACTGGCTGCCCTCGTGGTTGTCATCCCTCTTGGGACCCATTTTCTTTCTCCTCTTTCTGCTCATTTTCGGGCCTTGTCTTCTTAACTGCCTGACTCATTTTGTATCCCAGCGAATGAGTTCTTTCATTCAGAACACTACCAAAGGGCACGTGGACAAGATTCTTCTGCTTCGAGATTCCCAATACAAGAGACTTCCTCAGCAGCCCACGGAGGAGAATGCAGTCTAGCAGGAAGGGACCAGAGACGCAGCTTCCTCCCATCTCTATTTACCGACCTGAAGAAATAAACATCAAAACGCCATTTTGAAAACCTCCATTTTGCTTAAATGGCAGTTTCCCCCTAAACCACAGCAATTCTAGGCTTATTTTTTTGATGTCCGTATCCCTTGCACCCCTCATAATGGCTGACCCTTGGCGATGTTTGTGATCACCCAGCAATGTCCAGTCACTGCTCATGACTCTTTGACCCCTGATCACTCCCAGCAGCCGAAGCTTTTGGGCCCCACCTCCCAACTGTAAACGCAGACCTCCCTTCCCAACATTTTTCTCAGATCAAACCCATCCTGTTGTAGAAGTTGCTTATTTCCTTGTTGGTCTTTCCTTCCTTGGACTTTTCAGCCACCACTCTGTGGGTTTCTGAACTAGAGGAACTTATCTGGATGCTGGCTCCCCAGTTCCAGGGACAAGGGTCAACCTTGAATATATTTCCCCTGCTGCTGCTGCTGCTGCCAAATGCACAGAACTGAGAATCTTCTAGACAGCTAAGTTCACTTGGTTTACAAGAGACTCTTATTATTCCAAACGTAGGCGGTGGTCCTACCTCTTGCCACGTGTCCTTTCTGTTAAGGGGAGCATTAAAGGGACACTCAGACGGCCTCAGCTGCTGAGGCAGTTATGGCAATCACCTGCCTCCAGGTGCCTTTCCTTCATCAGCTATGAAACACGCTTAAAGGGGACTGTGCCATAGTCCCCCCCACCTCTCTTTTTAAGATTTATTTATTATGTATACAGTGTTCTGTCTGTATGCCTGCAGGCCAGAAGAGGGCACCAGATCTCATTACAGATGGTTGTGAGCCACCATGTGGTTGCTGGGAATTGAACTCAGGACCTCTGGAAGAGCAGTCAGTGCTCTTAACCTCTGAGCCATCTCTCCAGCCCCCGCTTCTCTCTCTTGCCTATTCTCTCAGTCTAACTGCCTCTCTCTCTGTCTCTGTCTCTGTCTCTGTCTCTTCTCTCTCTCTCTCTCTCTCTCTCTCTCTCTCTCTCTCATGTCCCCACTCTGCGACAACCTTTCCCTCATTCACCACCACCCCCATAAACCTTCTGTACTAACACTGCTGTATGTGTGTGTTCTCTGAGGGGCATCCCTTGGCAGAGCCCTCCGTAGGTACCCTTCTGCTACGGTTTTTATCCTTTCAGGGAGGAAGGCCCCCCAACAGGCTCAGATGTTTGAATACTGAGTCCCCAGTTGGAGCTTCTGGGAGATTTAGGAGGTGTGGCCCTGTTGGGAGAGGGGTGCTCCTGGAGGTGAGCCTTGGAGAATTTAAAGAGCCAGGCCACTTTGAGTTTACCGCCTCTGCCTTGTGCCTGTGGTGCGAGAGGTGAGCCTTCAGCTTCTGCTGTGTCTACCATTTGCTGCGTAGCCCTACCGTCCCCTATGAGAGTCTCTCCACTCCAGGACAGTAAGACAAATAATCCCTCCTTTTCCTAAGCTGCCTTGGTCATGATGTTTTTATCACAACGATAGAAAAGTAATACAGAGGGTAACGGCACTGGTGTCTTACCTAGCCTATATGATATGTAGTCCAGGCTAGACCTAAACTCATCACAGTGATGGTCCTGCCTCAGTTTCTTGAGTACTTGGGACCACAGGAATGCATCACCACACTCAGCTCTAACGGTGTCTCTTAGTGAGAGGCACGAACTCGTGACATTCCATCTGTCCATCTGCCTCCCATCTGTCCATCTGCCTCTAGTGTGTGTTCTGGGAGGAAACAGAAGGATCCTAGTGCCATGAATTCCCAGTAGGGCCCAAAAATCTCAAAAGAGATGCCCCTTTACAGGGCTGGAGAAATTAGTTTGGTGGTTAAGAGTGCTTGCTTCTCTCAGTTCGGTTCCCAGCAACCAAGACTGGGTAGGTAGCTCACAGAGGCCTGTAGCTCGGGCTTCAGCGAAACCTGTTCTCTTTTCTGACTCAAAAGAAACTGCGCCCAGGTGCAGACACATACACATTATTTAAAAAAAAACAGCCTTTACACGGATGTCCCCTTAGAGTTGGTACTGCTCCTAGGACAGGGCTGGAAGAAGCGGACAGCATACAGATCCCTGTGTCCCCAGGCAAAGAGTTCACAGAGCACTGGGTACGTCAGCCAGCCAGCCAGCGTGTCTGTCATTCCAACCCTCGGGAGGCTCAGCCTGCAGGCTAGAGAGTTTAAGGTCAGCCTGGGCTGCCTAAATGAGACCTTATCTCAAGAAGCTGAATCTGCAGTTTATTTACAGAAGGAGTTCTCTCAGGAAATCCGGAAGGCTGCAGGGAAAAGCTCCCAGGACCTCAGAATCTGGCTCCCGTCAGCGGATTGCAGAGCCCTCCGTCCTTTTCATGATGTCAGCTTCCCCTTCCTCCATCAGTTGTACCAACCACAGGCAGAGATAGATAGGCTTCCTCCGCGGCAGGAAGAATCCGGAACCAGCCAAGTCCACGTGTCTGGAACAGCCCGGTGGTGGCCCCCCCTCAGCAGAAGTCTCCATAGCGACGCCACGCCCACTCTGATGCCGAGGTCTCAGCTGTAAGGCCGGGTACCTCAGGTCCAATAAGCAGAGGCTACCATCCTCATTCAAACCAGAGTCTCCACACAGTGGTGTTTGGACTTTAAGTTTCTTTAATGCCTATTGCGAGAAGACACCGAAAGGCGGGTGGTGTAGTAGAAATCGAAAACTCCCACGGACACCCGCTACCAAACCACTATGGCAGGAGCACACAGGGTTGGTTAATGATATGCTGAATCCACATGGTTTTGTCCAGGGTTTTATGAGAGGTTCAAAGACATGAGTGTTTCTCATATTATTCCAAATTCCTTGAAGACAGATTCTAATGTATTTTGAGACACGTTTCACTATGTAGCCCTGAAACTCACTGCATAGACCAGGCTGGGCTTGAACTCACAGAGATCCACCTGCCTCTGTCCTCCCAGTGCTGGGATGAAAGACCTGTGCTACTATGCCCAGCTTTAAATAGCCATTCAGAGACTGGAAAACATCCCATTAAAGGAGGCAATGGCTGTAGGGAAGAACCAGTGGTTAACAATGTTTGCTGCTGGGGCTGAAGAGATGGCTCAGTGGTTAAGAGCATTGCCTATTCTTCCAAAGGTCCTGAGTTCAATTCCCGGCAACCCCATGGTGGCTCACAACCATCTGTAATGAGGTCTGGTGTAATGAGGTCTGCAGACACATAATAAATAAATATTTAAAAAACAAACAAAGAGACCCCAATGTTTGCTGCTCACACAGAATACCTGAGTTCTGTTCCCAGAACCCAGAATGGGAGGATGGGGTGACCCCACTCGAGTACACATGCCTATACAAAAGCACACACATAAGCATAATTAAAAAAAGAGCAGCCGTGCATGCCTTTAATCTGAGCATTTGGGAGACAGTCTCAGGTCATGAGTTCAAGGCCAAACTGGTTCACTAGTGGGTTCCAGGCCAGCTAGGACTACGTAGTGAGAATCTATTTCAAAAAATAAAAGAAACCTTAAAAAAGGGGGGGGGGATGGGGGAGAACTCAGTGCCAAAGTACTTGCTTAGTCAGCATGCCAGCTGTCTGAATTCCATCCTTGTCTTCATATATACCTAATATTAAGATTATAGGCTGGGACCAGACACGATGGCACATGGGCACAGACTGGAATCACAGCACGGGAGAGGCTGAGGCAAGTGGATCCGGAGTACTAGAGCAGTGTGGGCTACAGAGGGAGTGCCAAGCTACTCTGGGTAACTTAGTGAGACTCTGTTTCAAAAATAAATAAAAGGAGAGCCTGGGGGTGTGGTTTCTGGGCAGAGCACTGGCCTAGACTCCCCCACTGAAACCGGTGGTGTGGCGAAGACATAGAGTGCCTGCCAGAAATTCTCCAGGAAGGCAAGGGTTTACCTTTTCCTCACCTAGCACCAACTTGCCAATAGCCAGGGCCAAAGGTGTCCCTCTCAGGTCAGTCACCCTTTGAGGCATTGTCCAGGAGCTGCCAGGCGACGCGTTGGAGCTGATGGTGAGAGCCTGAGGCAGGGGTTTAGCCTGCAGGTTTTTGCTCTGGGTCCATTTGGGGGCTTGTCAGTTGGGGGTTCCTTCTGTCTACCTGCTGAGGGGCACGAACAGGATGCTCGGGTGCCTCACATGGGGACTTGTGACCCTTTCCCTCTCAAGTAGGGTCCCATGTAGCCTGGACTATTCTCAAACTTGTTAAGTAGCCAAAGCTGGCCTTGAACTCATGACTTTTCTTCCTCCATCTCCTACTGGAGTTACACAGTTTTATGCTGTGTTAGGGATTGAATTTAGGGCTCTGTGTGTAAATTGAACATTCTACCAACTGAGCTACATCCCCAGCTTCCCATTTCTTTGTCTTTTTTATTATATGTTTAATTATATGTATATGTGTAGTTATGTGCACACACATCTGAGTTACAGGCAGTTGTGAGCTACCTAATGCGGGTGTTGGAAACTGAATTCAAGTCCTCCACAAGAGCAGTATATGCTCTTCAACCATGTTATGTGGGAGGTGGTATTAATTTTCCTTCTCTTTGAGACAGCGTCTCATATATAGCCCTGGCTGGCCTGGAATTCTCTATGTATACCAGGCTAGCCTTGAGCTAATACAGATCTGTCTCAAGTGCTGGGATTAGAGGCACTTAAAAAAAAAGGCACTTTAAAAAAAGCTAATTATTTTTTTCTGTTGGTGGAGATGGAACCAAGAGCCTCATTAATGCTAAGCAAATGCTCTACCACTGAGCCACACCCCATCCCCTCACTGGGGGATTCTAGGCAGGTGCTCTACCACTGAGCCAGGACCCAACTCAGGAGGTAGATTCTTTTCACTCTGCCATGGGTCCTATTTCAACACTGAAGTTCTCACTTCAGTTACATTATTCCTCCCACCCCCTCCTGGCCTCTTTCAACACAGTCCCCAACTCAACTCTTCCGTGAAGCCTTCCAGATCGCCGCCCCGCCCCCTTGCAATCTCAAGCTTCCTAATATGGAACATTCACATAAACCACGCATGGCTGAAACAGAAAATGGGACACACATATGTGCCTAGAGCTGAAGCGCGGGGTGGATGAACTCTATTTCCAAGGTCCAAGTCAGCTGTAGGTGGACAGCGTGGGGAAGATGAGGTTCCAAAGACTTCTTGCCCTCCCGCTCCCAAGTTTCTGAGCGTCACTAATGTCGGAGAACCGTGAGACCACGAATTCGGGCTCCGCCCCCAACACCACCCCTCCCCTCCGGTTACCCGCGTCCCCCTCCCTCCCCCGTTGCTCCGGGCCCCACCTTCCTGCGCCGGCCGCTGCGCCGGCCCCTTTTGTTCGCTCTCCGGCCGCTGAGCTCTCCTGGCGCTCGGCTCCTTTCGGCTGAGCTCGGCTCGCCTTGGCAGGGCTCCACGGAGCTCGGCTCTTCCCGGCTTGGCTCCCCTCGACTCGGCTCCTTCTGGCTCGGCTCGGCTCGACTCGGCTCCGCCTCGGGAGCGCAGGCAGAAGCCCGGCTTACTGGATCCGCCCCTCCCTCTGTCTTCTGGTCGTAGATCGTGTGCGAGGCCCGGACTCGGAGCGCGGAGACCGGCTTAGGATAGCGGCGTGCGGGGAAGGGCGCAGCATCCTCGTTTCCAGGACGGTCGGACCGAGAGGAGGCCAAGGGGTGTAGGGTCCTTGTCGCTGCTGGAGCTCCAAGGTAGGCGCAGCTCTGGGGACGCGCGCGATGGGGGCGCGCGGGCAACAAAGGACGCAGAGTCGCGGGGGGCGGCGACACCCTAGCCTGGGAAGAAAAGGGGGGAACTATCACCGAGGCATTGTCGTTGCGTGGGCAGGGACAGCGGGCAGGGTCGCCGCCGTTGGTGGGCGTGGGCGGTACGAACCCCAACTTCCTCAACCCGGAGGGCGCGCTGCTGGGGTTGGAGGACGCCCCTGGATTGCACTCCCGGATGGTGCGCGCATCCACAGACTGGGGCTCGGGCTTATTTGTTGGGGTCCTCTTTCCAAGAGCAAGTTCAGACAGCTGGACGAGCTGTAGAGCTCTTGGAAGCTCTCAGACTCGGGGTGGGGGGGGGCACAGCCTGGTGGGCGCGGCCATCAGTCCTCATCCCCAGACCTGGCATCTGGGATGAGACACGGAGGCCCCCGCCCCACCACCTGGGGTCGCCTGATTCGTGCCCTTAGCAAAACTTGATTGGAGAGTCTGGCTTGGAATAGGAGGGTAGGGTAAGTGGGAGGCCCAGGCAGGTTGGCTTTCCACAGGGGTGCACCCCCAAGCTGGCGCTGGTGGCTGGTGAGGCAGCAGATTTTTTCCCTCCCCCCAGGGAGGGGCAGTGGCGACGCAGGATGCAGGGCTGAGCCTCCAGAGCCAGCCCGCGTGGACTCCAGGCGGGGCCTGTGTGTGTTTGTCCCGGGCACACTGGGCTTTGCCACGCGTGCCTCCTCTACAGCCTGGCCCAAGCCAGGAAAGGTCGCTGCAGAGGAACACCTTAGGGGTAGAGGAGTCACAACACAGGAATGCGTCCAGTCTCTGAGATTCCACTCCTGTCTTCTGGACTACAAATGGCGGGGGTGGGGGAGTGGGGGGGTAGAACTAGAGAGGAGTTGGCCTTAATCTTGAAAGGTGCCCAGACAGAGGATGGTGGGGGTGGGGCTGGCCTGGGGCTTTGCTCTGAGGAGGTAGAGAGCACCACGTGGGGCTACCCTAGCTCCCTGTGAGCCAGAGGCCTCCTCTCCATCAGTTGTAATGTAAACAATGAGCCCTTCATTCATAAGGCTGCTGTCACCTGGATTGGCACCACCAGGGGCTGGCAGGTACACAGAACCGGAACCGCTCTGCACAGTCCAGCCCAGCCTGATGCCCCGTCTGTGGAGAAGCTGGAACACAGACGTGGCACAGCTGAAGGGTGGGGCAGACCCTGAAGGGTGGTTGAGCCCAGTGCCCTGCCCAAGGGTGCTTTTTGCATAGGAGATGGATGGTTCCCGCAAGAGCTTCCGGATAGGAGGCATTCTGGCTTAGATGCGCAGAGAAAGATTTAGGTTAGTGGGGCGTGAAGCTCAAGGCTAGTTTGCTAGTTCTCTTCCTTCATACAGTAGGTGCCCACTTAACACAGGACACATGGATCTCAGCAGTGCCCCAATCCCCAAATTTCCTCAGGAAAACACATCCTGAGGAGCAGGGGCTGCTGTGTGCTTGGGTAGCTGGGCTGGAGCTTGATATCGTGAGTCCAAATCCTCGCTCTGCTACTTGCATAGCTGTGTGGTTCTGGACAAGATCATATACCTCTCTGTCTCCATTTCCCCATCAGTAAAATGGGTATACTGAGGGTATTCGCCTTTTAGGACTTTTGAGAGAATTATATCTCCTAGGACAGAGCTTTTGTGATTTTACTTATATGTATATTTGGTGGCATGGGGAATTGAACCTAGGACCTCATGCATTCTCTGCCTGGGCCATGCCCCTATCCTCTTGCTGGGGGATTCTAGGCAGGTGCTTTAAATACTGAGCCACACCCCAGCCCCTCACTGGGGGATTCTAGGCAGGTGCTCTACCACTGAGCCACACTCCAGCCCCTCACTGGGGGATTCTAGGCAGGGGCTCTACCACTGAGCCACGCCCCTGGGGCGGATTCTTGACAAGAGTGCCACCATTGAACTACAGTCCCAGTTGAAGAGTTTTGCTACAGGAAACGGCCCTCAGCCTGGGGCAGGAGGAGACTTCTCCCCTACTCTGGCCAGCTCTTTACCTTCACAGAGCTTAGCCTTTTAGACCCGCCCCAGGGCCTGTTCTTTCTGCCTCCCTTCTTCCGACTTCCTGCTTTCCTTCACTGATGGCAATGCATTATAAAAATCCTCTTAGCCCTAAGTCTTCCCTGTCTTCACCTGGAAACAAACCCGTGTGATTTCCAGCCCCTCTCTGGTCCTGCAGCTGCACAACTTTCTCCAGAGAGACAACTGTGCCGCCCTGTAGCAGAATTTAGGCCTTCATACAGGTTTTTAAAAACACATATTAAGTGTTTACTCTGAGCCAGGAAGATTTGGTCCTACACTCCCACTCCCTTTTGAGGCAGGGTCTCTACTGTGTAGCCCAGGCTGGCTTGGAACTTGCTTAGGTAGCTCAAGGTGGCCTTGAATGTACAGATATCTGCCTGCCTCTGCTTGCTGACTGCTGGGACTAAAGGCATGTGCTACCATGGTCAGTGGTTCTGCCTTTTATATGAACATACATTCAGTTGTTGGTTTTTGCATTATTTTGAAGATTTACGTTTATCTTTATTCATGTGTATCTATGGGACCGTATGCCATGTGTGTGCAGGTACAACATGGAAGCCGGGAGAGGGGATGGGATCCCCTGGAGATGGAGTTACAGATTGTTGTGAGCTGCCTGATGTGGATGCTGGGAATGAACCTGGGCCCTCTGAAGCAGCAATAACAACTTCAGATCCCTAAGCTGTGTCTTTAGCCCCTGCTTTGCTTACAGGAGATGAAATCTCACGTATCCCAGACTTGCCTTAGACTTATATAGCCCCAGCCTTGAACTTTTCTCTGCTCCTCCTGCCTGCATTTCCCAGCAGCTGGGGTGACAGCTGTACCACCCTCCTCCAGGTTTATATGGTGTTGGGGATAGACTTGGGCTTCGTACATCCTGGTTCAGCACTTCACCAAGTGAGCCACAGCACCGGCTCTGGGTTTGTTTGTTTGTTTCAAGGCAAGGTTCCATGTAGCTCAGACTGGCCTCAAAGTCACTATGTAGCCAAGGCTAACCTTCCTGCCTCCACTTCTGGAGTTCTGGGATGACAGGTATGCACCACTGTGTGCTTTGTCCGTGCACTGGTTAAGCACTTACTGTGTGCCTACAGGACACACCATCTTCCGCAAAGTCATTTTACCCTACTCCCAGGTCTGTGTCTCTAAAGCGTGATTACAGTTGTGCCGATACCTCCACACCCTTTGTCAGTACAAAGTCTAAACACTATCTGGCTTTTGGAGCCTGTACAATTGCCTTCCGTGAGACTGGCTCCCCCGTGTCTCTGTCTGTCTGACTAGCTAGCGCTCGGTCTCTCTCTCTCTCTCTCTCTCTAGCGCTCGCTCTCTCTCTCTCTCTCTCTCTCTCTCTCTCTCTCTCTCTCTCTCTCTCTCTGCTGATCGTCAGCTGACCAGATCCAGATTTTAAATGCCTCCACTAAGGTCACCTCAATTCTCTTTATAAGCTATAAGTATGGGCATGGTTCGTTGATCCCAGCTGTCACGGAAGGGACACAGAATTGGAAGAGGCCCGGCCCCCTTGGATGCCCCGTGGTTAGGAGTCTTTGTTGTTTTGAGACAGGATCTCATGTAGTACAAGTTGGCCTCAAATTTGCTGCATAGTAGAGGCTAGCCTGATTGTCCTTTCCAAGTACTGGGGTTACAGATATGTAACACCATGGTTGGCATTTGTGCATAAGTGTGTGTGTGTCTGTGTGTGCACGTGCATTTGTGTGTGTATACGTGTGTGTCTGTGTGTGCATCTGGGTGGACATGCGTGTGTAGAGACTAAAGGTTAACTGTCTTCCTCAATCACTGCCCATTTCATGCTTTATTTATTTTGTGTTTCTGTGGTTGTGCGTGGGTGTGTATGCATGGCTACTTATGGAGGTCAGAGGACAGCTTGCCCGGAGCTCTTCTCTCATTCTGCCGCCCAGGGATTAAAGTCAGGTTGGTGGACTTGGTGGCAAACCCCTTTGCCCCCTGCGCCGTCTTGCTGGCCCTTCACATTATTTTCTGAGACAGGGTATCTCGCTTAACCTGGGCCTCGCTGACTCAATGAGGCTGGCTAACTCTCCAGCCCCACGGTCCTCCTGGCTACCTCTCTAGTGCTGCAGTTCCAGGCACGGGCTGCTTTTTGACACGGGTGCTGGGGATCTGAACTCAGGTCCTCGTGTTTGTGTGGCAGGTCATTTGCCGAGGGAACCATCTCCATAGCCCCACTGTGTCTGGCTTCTTTGAGAAAGTTTTGCCCCAGGAATCAGAGCTTCATTCAGTTAAGTAAAGTGAGGCTTCAGTTAACATCTGCTTATTAATTTTGTATTTATTTGTGTGTGTGTGTGTGTGCTTGCATGCATGTGTGTGCCTGTGCGCACTCCCACGTGCTGGTGCTGTGCCTGTGGAGGTCAGGGACCAACTTTGGGGAGTTGTTTCTCTTTCTGCTGTGTGGGTACCAGGGATTGAACTGAGTTCATTCGGCTTGGTAGCCAGTTCTTTCCCTTACGAACCAATCTCACCGTCCTGCAGGCCCCCAAAAGGAGATTTCAGAGTAAGAGAAATGAGACTTATTCACTGAAGAATTGCCAAGGTGTGTGTGTGTGTGGGGGGGGTGTTCTGGGACAGCTAGCCTGGGAAGCTGGCCTGTCGCCTGGCCCCTACTGTTTTTTTTTTTTTTTTTCTGGATGGTGGTTTCATTTTCTCTACTTTTGATCTTGCCTCTGTTTTATCTTTTCCTTGCCTATGTGGCCTGGCCCAGTGTGGCTATTCCAAACGCTGGCTTCAGCTCCTGTTCATAGGCCCCTCCTGGTGGTACCCCCTTTAGTCCTGGGTTGCCAGAGAGACCGATTGAGAGGGCTACCCCCATATGCTCAACTGGTGCTAGACGGGGGCTGGGAACAGCTGGTATAGTCTGTCAGACAAGGTTTCAGTGCATGAAGTGTGTGTGCGTGCATGGGT